GAGACCCCCTAGCAGCAGAAATAACATATTGTACGTTTAAATCCCACACAGAGCAACGTTATTACCAGTAAACATTACAAGTGAGGAATGTCCATTAAAACACAACGCAAAAAACAATCAAATTCCATGTTAAAAAAAAAAAAAAGATTTAGAGTTCTAAAAAAAAATCCACAAAACCCATGATGTTAAAAACGTGTTTAGACAAACTTTTGTCCCATCAAGTCATACAGGAAAAAAATCTTGAGTAAAAAAACCCTAACCCTCTGAAAAGACATTCACAATCCTCAACATCTAACCAGACTACAGCAGGTAGAAAGTACCGGTGTGCAAATGTGGAGTCAGATTCTGATTCGGAACATGCCCTGGCTCAGCTGAAGGCGGAACAGTCGGCAGTTGGCGATGCGCAGAGCGGCGCAGGCGGTTTTGGAGAGGTCGGTGGGTAACATAGGCTTGGTGCGATGCCACGTCCCGGTGCTGCGGCGAAACTCCCGGATGTAGTCGAAGCTTGTTCCTGCACACACGGGAAACACCAACCATTACCATTCCAATACTGACGATGCATCAGAACTCTGTTGTTGTTCTGCATGGTTTTCTTTTACTGACCTGTGTCCAGGTCTCCCACTACGTAGATGCTGGCTCCGATGGGCACAGCACCGTAAACAAAGGACGAGCTGGTCTGGATGCACAGGTTCTGGTCGTCCAAAAACATCCACCTGCACCCATCATACCACAACAGAAATGTGTATCAAAAATAATTTGTCTGTAATTTTATTGAAAAAAAAGGTAGGAACATTTTGCCTCCATTGCACAGTGTGCAGTCTTAGTTTGTACTTTATTTATGTTCTGGTGGCCCCAACAACTGAAAGCCATAATGGACATAAAAAAAAATAAATCACACAAAAAAGCGCTGGATTATGGAGAGTTAGGGATGGAACAGTTCAAGTAAAAAAAATCTGAATTGTTCGGTTTGCTAGTCACAGGTTGGACACGTATATATTAATTTATGTAATTATTCATTTGAAATAGGCTATGAGGTCAAACAAGCATGCACAGAAAAAAAAAGTTCAAATAAAGTTATTGGGGTGCAAAAGACTTTAAACTCATTGCAGCTTCTCGGTTGGCATGGATGAAGTGTAGAGTGCAGTCAGTCAGCTTTGGAAATGGCAAAAAGACTAACAGAGTAGCCAACAGTTTACAGAGGATCCGCTGCCATTGTGGCATCATGTGCAGCCCTATGCAGTGGTGGAGGTTGTGGGATTACAGCAGTAATGTGGCCGGCAGTTTTTGTTGGCAGAAATTAGAAAACCTATTCTTTTAATTAAGATTTGACAATGAGTTAGTGTTTATATTCCTTTAGTTATTAGCCAGAATTTTGTTAAAGGCAAACAGTGGTCAATTTTGTGAACCGCTCCACTCCTATAAATAATGGCAATAGCTGATATTTTCTGTATTGTTAGTTCAGTGATTCCTAATGCAACTATTTTCTCAGTTTCCTCACAAACACCTACAGGTACAGTATGTTTTCAGGTATAGGATGCATGTTTTTTTAGACTTCTCTGTATTGGGCCCTTCTGCATACAACTGTATAGCGCCAAATCATAACAGAAGTTACTTCTCATATAGCACTATTCTGATCTCAGAACTGCTTCCTCGTATTTGTGAAAATTTGTTTCTTCGAATTTCAAAAGAAATTCGAAGCTTGTCCAACTTCCACTTTCATTCTGATCTTCGCTACTTGAGGCAACTATATTATAGGCTTAGGCTTTCCCGATTAAGGGGAGCAACAGAAATCAGAACAAAAGAGCAGGTGGTGATAATAAAGGAAGTAAGCTCCTCAGAGCTGAGATGGAGAGGAGAAGCCTTAATAGTGCAAATATAATAATAATAACTTTTGGGGGCTTTTATTGGCCTAAATTGACATTGACAGCTGAAAAGCAACAGCAAAGGGCCACAGTTCAGAGGTGAACCCACGGCTGCTGCAGCAAGTACCCAGTCCCGGCACATGGGGCGCCAGCTCTACCAGGTGAGCCATCCGGACGCCCCCAATTTAATTTTTTTCAATTTCCAATTTCATTAACTAGATGTTAGTCCAATGAGAGAATGTACACCGATCATCTATAACATTCTGTAAAATGTATATGTTATGCAGCCCCATACCAACAAACTATAAGACTGACTATTCTGTTAATAGGTTTCACACTCTTTACTGTTAATCTGCCAATCTACAGTATAGACAGTTTTGGAATAACTAAGTCTTATCAAACGTGGATCCCTGAGACTTCATCTTATCAAATATGGGTCTGTGGCCTGATGCGTATCAATGTGGGGGTTCTTGACACCAACAACATTTAGAACCACTGATATAGACAGACTCCACGTAGTGCAGCCACAATAACTGCAGCAAAGAGGAGTTAGGCATTCTACACTGGGTAGAAAAAGAAGGAAAAGAAAAGGCAACACATCAAGTCAAAAACACACTTGTGCAGACATTTGAACCATTTACAGGCCAAAGAATGCTTGTTTGTCTCAGAGTGACGCAGCCAGTATATTTCAGTTTACTGTTGAAGGTGTAAACTGAAACCCGGGGCTTTGATTCTGCTGTTTAAATAAAGAAGAAGTTTATGAAAAGAGTCTGTGTGCAGTCCTACATCTTTCAAGCCAGTAAGAGCTCCAAAGCAAAGTATCAGTGTTAATTTGATGGGGTTGAGCTGCTTCTTTATTTTCTCAAACCAGTACTTATCCAGGGTGCTGAAACAAAAATATTACATTTATGTGCACAACACAAAAACAAGATATTAAAAAAACCTGGTCATAACCGGGATAGTGTTCTGCATGTACTCTTTTAGCTGTGGACCTGTCCTTAGATGGTGAAATCTGAATTTACCAAAGTACTCAAAATAAACAAGAACCGTAGATACTCTAAACTGGTATTCAATAAAATTACAAGAACTCTGTTATAGACATTTTGCAGCATCCTGATAAGCATTGCACTATTCAGTGAAATCACAAAAAAATATTTAAAATCATTATTTCTAAGACATCTATTCTATTCATCATGTGTCAAGATAATTTAAATAAAACAACAAAGTAATCTGGAGGAAAACAGCTCATATAGGCCCATTGGCTATACAGTTATTTATGTTCTCTGATATCCTCATCTCTATTCATTACCAGATCTTTCATTTATCCTCATTCCTATGTCCTGAGGTACTGTACAATACATCAAACACTTCTCCCAATACTAAATTAGGTAGAGTGGTACAAAGACACAGTTGTTCATAAAAAAAAGCAGACAGACAAACCATCTGCCTGCCTTCTTACAGTCTGTAGAAACTATTCTCTCATTATTATGCGATATTGAACTGATAAGACTCCCAGCTGCCATACAGCCTGCAGCTTATCTCTTGTATAGTTTCTACCCCAGGCTGCTATACATTCAGCCTCATGATGGAACAACTCATGGTCCTAATCTCACTATACTCACTAATCAAACTACAGCTTATCTTAGCATTTCTTTTCGTTTCACTGAACACATCCATCCTCATGTTCATCTCCTCAGTCACACTGAGAATGTGAAACGTGATGAAGAAGGAAGGGCATGGATAAGAGATACAAGAGACAATTTATTGGGTAAAAGAATGTAATAGCATCACGTTATTTTCATAATTTTTAATGACTGATGATAACTTAAGCTTTTGTGTCAATAGAAAATTTGCATGTTGATGTTGTAATCCTACTAACACTTGGCTCACACAGGACATAGAGCAGCTGTATTACATGCACAAAGTAGCGAGTGGACTGTTTTCTGTATCAGTTTTTCTCAATCAAGTCTTTACTTGTGTTCTGGACTTGTAAGATTTCATTAATCATGGCCAAAGTACTGTCCAAGTCCACATTTAGCTATAGAGCAATCTCTTTAAGTGGGTCCCCATTTTGTTTGTATTGCATGTGCTCTAGGACTTGCACACCAGTTTCATGCTATTCTCTGATTGACAGTTGGTGAAAAGTGTATCAAAGGATAAACAAAGGGAATGAAGAAGAAGAATGCATTATAGCAAACATAGATGTAAATGTGAAAATATTCAACTGAATTGGCCTTGCAAATGTTTTATGAGGAAAGAAATGTATTTAACATGTTTAATAAGAATGATAAGAATGGTTGTATTTCAGTAAGTTTAAGTGGCACTGACATCATAGATCTTGCCACACTCCAATGAAAATGAATAAATATATGTAAAGGAAAAACAAACTCTAGTCAAAGGTGCATTGTAGTGTATTAGGTTTTGCTTTGCCTGTAATACTTGTGCTTTTCTTATGAAAGGTTAAAAATGTATGCTGTGAAAAACTCCCTATATAAACTGTTATGCTCCAGTACTCTGCCTGCTGCCTCCTAATCACCTGTAAGCTAGCTGTCCAGAATGATTCCTGCACTTCATTAAACCAGACCTGGTGCTCTTGCTGAGCATGACCCAGTCACACAAGACTCATTTTACCCTAACATCCCATTAATGAGCCTGAGGTGAGTCTCTCTAACTTTTTCAGTGAAATAATGCAGATATGTTCCACTGAGCACCAAAGCACCATGGCTGCTCATTGACAGCCACAAGGCATCACTGCCACTGTCATCAATAAATGCTGCTCCACTGAAACCACTTAACTTCATCCTTTTACTCCACTAAATGTTTTACAAAGGGGGACAGAACAAGGCAAGCTGGGAATGAAGAAGAGATTAGACGAAAGTGATCTGTAAATAAAAATACTGAAACTTACAGATTCAATTTGTTTTGTAATTACAGATCACGTTTTTCAAAGGATCCGAATGGAGAGTTATACCTATTACGTATTATACAAATTGCATACTTTAGACAGGCCTATTCATTTATATACAGCAATAACAATAAAAACTGTAATATTAACATAATAATAAATTACTTATTGATACATTAAAAACTGCCCCTGCAGCTATGGCTGTCAGAGCCAGAGTCAGGCCAGCGTGGTCATACAATACCCTTGACTGATTGTGTGTTTGTGTCCAGACTGTTTATCATTGGTTTTCCTGCCTGTGTCAAAACCGAAACAGACATATGTGATTTATTGATGATGTTGTTCTCCTGTAAGTATTTCAAAAGCAACAGAATTACAGGGTATGTGTCTGACTGTACGCTTCTTCATGCAGTTTCATTTACACAAGACCACAAACACTTGGCACAGAGCAAGTTGTTGAATAAAACATAAAGCTGGTAATGATTTAAAACTGTCAAAACCAACAAGGGAGCGGTAATGTAAAGAGATAACAACAGACAAAGCAGGATGTGAGACCATCTGTTATCTCACATTTTCCCAAAGACAGCTGCAAAGTACAAACAACTTGAAACTGTACGGCTGCTCAGTCCCATCTGCATTGATGAAAGGGTTTTTTTAAAGTATAGATGAGATGTAAAAGATGCATCAGCTGTATCACAGGATGTTAATTATTTTAACAGTTTGTTTTCATTACAATTACTGCTTCATCACTGCTTCATAAAAGCAGGAATTGTGAAGATCTAATTTACAGATGGTTGACAAATCAAAGAAAAAAGTAATATTAAGTATCTTAGTAAGGTGTTGGACCACCACAAGCCTCCAGAAAAACATGGCATAAAGTCTCCAAGGAACAAGAGATGGAGAGCGCTCTAACACATTGGTTGAAGCCTGGTGACTGTGGAGGCTGTAGCTGTGTTATTTAATTCATTTTCATACTTTTATAGTATTATGTATTTATCTTGTTTAAGAGATCAACATAGATATGAGGAATGTGGACAAACTCAGCAACTGTGCCAATTATGATGTGACTATGCTGCTGCTTTTGTATCATTTCTTATTTCATAAAACACAATACATTTTGAATACAGGGAGTGAGAAGGGAATCATAATTCTTCCAATTACTGTAAGCAATATCAAACATTTGCAATAAAATTATACGCAATTAAAGTTACTAGTAAGCAAGTGATCTGCATTCAAGTCAGTTTTTAATCTTGTTCAATGGATTAGAGGCATTGATTCTCCAGACAGCTGCAGGAATTTACTTACAAAGACAATTACTTACAATTACTGACTGCTAATAATGTTAATTGTTTTAGTTGTATTTAACTATATTTTTGCCCTAAAACTATATAAGATAAAAAAATATTGTCTAAGAAGGGAAGGGAAAATAGGTGTGTGCTCCATGACTCAGCTCAAATTCAGCTGGAGCCACAAGGTTTCTCTCATCCTCCCTTTCTGCTTTTCTCACCCAGCCACACTATTTTCTGCTTACCCTCAATCTCTCAGTCACTCTCCCTATCTCGTCTCTCCGTCTCGGCCTCTTCCACTGTCACTCCTCGCCTCACTCTCT